GTCTTGTGGTCGAGCTCCTAGTGTATATTTCTGGTCACAAGTAATGGCAGAAAGACGAAGTCTCGGAGGTCCGCACTGATCGCTGCTGGAGCCTCCCCGGCGCCGCCCCTGGCTTGCTCCGCGAGCCAGTGAGGGGGGTCCTGCGCCGATCCAAGAGATCCCCGCGGACCTGCAAAAGCTTATGCTAATGTCACTGCCTGTTCCCCGTATGCATGGAGGCCTTTTTTTATATCCCCTGGCGGAGGTGGCCAGAGCAGAGGGGCGGCCACGTCCCCGGTGCCCCGAGAATTATTCGCAGACGACGCCGTCGCGAATCGGCACGGGACCAGGATTGAGTCGGGCCTGTCCCTCTCCAGGACGACGTTTGGAATATGTTTTGACACTTTTGGGGCATTTTTGCTGCATTTTCCGTTTGTCGTCCAAGCTCCGCCTGCAGGGCGACGTGCCCGACCTAAGACCAGGAGGGGGGCCTTGAGGGGAGCGGGGCCGGTCCCGGGCGTCGTCGCGAGCAATGAGAGGAAGGGCTCATGCCCGTGTCCGTGCGCTCGCGTCCTGGATTCAGGGGCAACATCCGGGTGGGGGCATGTAAAACGACGCGAAGATCGGGACAAAATCGGATCGGGATAACTCGAAATCTCTGAGAATCGGCGGGTTTGGAGGATGTATTGGGCGCCGCGGCCGCTCCAGAGCGTTCCGGAACGCTCTGAGAGCGCTCCGGAACGCTCTGGAGCGATTTATCCCGATCCTAGCCTTGTCTTAGCATGGGCTCCAGGGGGAGGTGCATCGACCCCCTATTCGCCCATGCATCGCCGATAGGGGCGCAACAGCCAGCCTCGCCCAGGAGGGTGCAGATTCGCAAGGGGGTCCCATCGCAGATCCATCGACGATCTGTGCCCCGCGGAGCCTCCCCCCTGACGTTGCCCCTCCGGGGGGCGAGACGGAGGATGAGAGCCCAGGATTTGTCCAGCACTGGCGGGTGATGGTCATGTCTGTGTTCATGCCCTCGCAGCCTGGAAACTGAGTCGCGACCCCATGGACGCGCGGTCCCATGGATACGCTTCGCGCAGGGCATCCGCGCAAAGCCGCCCTGTATCCATGGGTTCGCGGCCCAGGGCTTCAGGCCGCAAGGCCCTGAACGTGGATATACTTCCCATTCGCAGAGTCCGATGGATGAGGGTGAGGCTCGAGAATCAAGAGCATAGATGATTATAGGTTTTGACGTTGTTGGCTCCTTCCAGGGCTTCAGATCCTCACCGGAGAAGGATCTGGAGACATGCTGCGGGGGGGTCTAGGGACCCCGGTCAGAATTGAGGGATCTCTGTGCGTCCAGACATGATGAGGGTGATCAGGCTGATGAGGATGATGAGGATAATGAGGATCATGAGGATTGGGATGTGGATGAGGACGGTGATAGTGATGGTGATGGTGATGGTGATGGTAATGATGGTGGTGGTGATGGTGATGGTGATGGTGATGATGGTGGTGATGACGACGTTGACGATGCTGATGGTTGTGATGATGATGATGACGCTGATCTTGTCTATGATGATGCTGCTGCTGATAATGATGCTTACTTTGATGGTGATGATGATGCTGATGATGATGCGGATCATGATGCTGCTGATGATGCTGCTGCTGTTGATGATCACGATGATGGCTATGCTGATGATTGAGATGACCATGCTGATACTGATGCTGATGATGATGATGCTGATGATGACGCTGATTGTGATACTGATGATGCTTATGATCATTATTCTGATGATCCTAGTGGTGGTGGTGATGATGGTGGTGGTGGTGATGGTGAGGATGATGGTGATCGTGGTTGTGGTGATGATGATGACGATGAGGAAGGATGAGGAGGAGAAGGCTGAGGAGTTCGGTTTATGTTTCGGGTGTTGTTGTTGAGCCCCAGAGGTGCTCATCGTGGCCACGGCCGGACGCAGCTTCAACAGCTATTGCGGACGGGGCCATGAGTCGGGGCCTTGAGAGGTGGGCCCCCGAGGCAAGGGAGGCATTTCCAGCTTGAGCCTGCACTGTTGAAGGCCTCTTCGCCCTGGGGTCCTGTCTCAGGGCACCTCATCTCTGAGGTGCCGAAGGATTTGGTCCGGCGAGTGGTCTTTGTCGGAGATCTGTCGGTTCGACATCTTAGTGGAGAAACATCACCACTGAGGTCCGTTCTGCACACCCTGGGGCCTCTGAGGGCAAAATGGCACCCCCAACCCCACAGGGGTCTCCCTCCCCAGAAGGAGAGGGTGGCATGTCGGGGGGAATACTTTCTCTGGCGCTCTGTGCGGGGAAAGAGCTAGGGGGGAGGGGAGGGAATGATACAAGGGCAGGGGGGGGGGGGAGGATAAAGGGAGATGGTGTAGTTAGGGGATATGTGGCCGGGGAGGGAGGCAGGATTGGGCATGTCGCAAGGGGGAGTGGCGGGGCAGGTGACAAGACGACGTTACGCCGCATCGGGTGCTCAATTCTGAGTCAGAGCGATGAGATGAAGCGGACTGATGAGACGTACGAGTGTATGGCAATGAAAGCAATGCGATGACATCGCGATGAGAAGCACCTTGATTGGAAGTCCAGGTGGCCTAACGATGAAGTGTCATAGGTCATAGGGCAGGTGTAACAACAGCCAACGAGAAAGCGAACACGATCACAACTATACGGAGGAATCGTCAGATGAATAAGGGGGTGATATGGAGGCCGCTTGTGCGGAGGCGTCGACATTGGCCCTGCTCGTGTGGTCCAGGGCAACAGGTTTGGACCACCAGCAAGCTGGATGTGCACGACTCGGCCAGCCTGGCAGAGCCGCCTTCGTTCGCATCGGATCGAATTCGATCTGATTCGATCCGATCCGATTCGCCGGCATCGGCCAGGACCAGCGGGCGCGGCGATCCATTTGGGACGACTCGCTGGCGACCAACTTTGTTTCCGATCCGACTAGATTTCGGTTTTCTATCAAGCCCATGCCTGCCTGGGCAAGGCCGCGTGCTTCCCCAGCACCCTCGTTTGGGCTGGACAGGCTAGCCCTCCGCACGCGAATCTGGCATGTGCCATCCGCGTGCTCCGCGTCCGTATCCGGCCATGTGCGCTACTTGTTTCCTGGCACGCAGGGGGGGTCTGATATTTCAATCATTCCTCAGGGGCAACGTTCGGGGCGGGACAGGCTCAGGGGGAACGTGTCGGCTTTTTCGGGTTTTCGGGAAGCCTCTTGGGTCAGGATCCGCTTACCTCAGGATCATATTGCTTCATGCCACATCTCCCCTCCCCCTTGTCAGATCACAGTCTCCTGGTGCAGAAGCGGCGGAGGCGGCGAAGCAGGTGGAGCAGGAGGGGACAGACACCTGGACGGTTCGATCTGCCGACCGCAGTCCGTGCAACGCAAGAGAAGTGGCAGGCGCTGCTCCACCACTGCTCCACCACGGAGAGAAGAGGAGGGGACGAGGGTCCCCCCCAAGGAGACATGGACCTCCTCCTCCTCCTCCTCCTCCTCCCTCCTCCTCCCTCCTCCTCCTCCTCCGCCTCCTCCTCCTCCCGCCTCCTCCTCCTCCTCCTCCTTCTCCTCCACCTCCTCCTCCTCCTCCTTCCCCCCTTCCTCCTCCTCCTCCTCCTCCTCCTCCTCCTCCTCCCCTCCGCCTCCTCCTCCTCCTCCTCCTCCTCCTCCTCCTCCTCCTCCTCCTCCTCCTCCTCCTCCCCCGCAGCCATTTTGGCTCAAGACGGAGCTTATCTCCCGTCCCGACTCCAGAGGCTCGAGGCCGAGGTGGAACGGCAGCCCCTTCCCAAGGCCTGGCTGCCTCGGCCAGCACGGGCGCCCCGAAGAAGCGCCCCCTCTGCCTCCTCGGCCGCCGCCGCCATCGCCGAGGCGCCCAGCTCCTGCTGCTGGCCGCCGCTCGGCTGTGTGCGGCGCAGCCATGGCGCCAGCAGGTGACCCAGCGCGTCGCCCCTCGCGCCCGAGAGGCACGGCCAAGACTCCGAGGTGCTACATGGTCTGTTCAACGCCATCATGTGGGGGATGGTCCTGGACAGATTTGGGACACCGTCATTGTGGTAACTGCGGGAAGCCCTTCACGGAGTCGGCCAACAGTACGAACAAGCAGACCGCCCAGCCCCCCAATCCGCCCCGCTCCAGCTCGCGAGGCAATCGGTGGGCTCGTCGAGTCCAGTTTGATGACGATGCAACAGTTCAACAGCCAGAGTGTGACACCACCGACCCCATCCAGGTTTGTGTGGCCGCCGTCAATTCCTGGCGCAATATCGAAGGCGCTGGAGGGCAACACTGCCTCCAAGCAGTGAAGAACTCAAAGCAGCCAAGGCCGCCGCCTTGGCAAACAAGTCGCCCGACCAGCAGACGCAGAGCTTGTCGGACCAGCTCTCAGTGCAGCGCAAGCGCCTGGAGGGCAAGCAGAAGGACGTGGCCTGGTACCTCGAGGAGATCGAGAAGCTCACCGAGAAGTACCAGACGGTCGCGAATGAGTGCAACGACATCTACAAGGAATGCCAGCAGCTCGAGGGCCAGCTCAGGGTCGCAGCGAAGGCAGCGGCCCA